GCGGAAACGCGGAAAAGACGCGCGGGGATGCGGAAACGCGGAAAAGACGCGCGGACATGCGGAAACGCGGAAAAGACGTGCGGGGATGCGGAAATGCGGAAAAGACGCGCGGAGATGCGGAAAAGACGCGGAAAATACGCGCAGAGACGCGGAAACGCAGGAAAAGACGTGCGGAGACGCGGAAACGCGGAATAGACGTGCGGGGCTGCGGAAACGCGGAAAAGACGCGCGGAGACGCGGAGACGCGGAAAAAACGTGCGGGGATGCGGAAACGCGGAAAAGACGCGCCGGGATGCGGAAACGCGGATATTAATACACCTAGACTTATTCAAACTTGGCGCGAGACGCTACGTGAGATATGCGACAGCAGCGCCAATGCCACGTTGCGGCAGAAAAGTGAGATGGACATTGGCCTGGTTGACCACGACGACGACGACGACGACGTTTCTTAAAAAAAATTACGTGAAAATTCCGACCCGTGGACTTTGCATTGCAATATCTCTACTCATGGGGCACGTAGGAAAAAAGTAAAAATAGTTTTATTATGCAAATCGTACCCAAGCTGTCCATTAAGCGCAGTCTCAAGTTCGTGGGATCAGCCATTGTTGAGAAAAAAATCTGAGGGCCCGTCAAGTCGTGTACTCGCGTAAACTTACACGGTCGGTCTCGCGCGCGTGGTACTAGCTTCGCTTACACTTGGCGCGAGACACTACCGTGTCTCGTGATGAAACCAAGTGCACTTTATGTAATTTTAGTCGCTGAATCCAAATCTGGCCTCCGTTTTCTACTATCACGTCAGAATTTTTAGATATGACCCATTTTTGGTCTTAAGCAAAAAAAACGGAAAAATTCAAGTTTGCCCCTAGGCATTTTGTAACTGATAGAGTAAAGGGTATCATGACATATGTTTACTACTCAGTTTTTCATGCTGATTTTAAGAATGATCGGAAATTTTCAATCCCGTTCCGTTTTGAAGACATTAGCGGTAAAGACGAAGATGAGAGATTTATGTAAATCCAGTAAATAGTTAACATTATCTAAAGTGATTTTTGTCGACCCAACTGGCAGGAAACTTTATTCGTGAGTCTTACATTCACGAAGTTTTGACCATCCGGATTGTGGTCCTTATCAAGTGATTGGTAATAGTTAAAATTGTTATTGCGAAAAAATATTACCCCAGCCAGGATTCGAACCTGGGACCTCCCTCAATCCGTGCGGGCGTCTTAGCCAGCTCGACCACCGGGGCTGTAGCAATACCATTCGCAATAACATTTATATGACTTAAGATGTTGTTTTACGCGTCTATTTCGACTTTTTCAAAACTGTGCGTCGATACGGAATGTCGACTCCACAATGAATGTCGATACGCGATTTTTTGACTATATTGTCTAGATATAATGTTGTAGAAATCGTAGATTGGAAAACACCATTATTCGGTCACGGTGTGTAATGACGAAGATGAGAGATTTATGTCGCCAGTAAATAGTTAACATTATCTGAAGTGATTTTTGTCGACCCTCTCTCTCATCTTCGTCATTACACACCGTGACCGAATAATGGTGTTTTCCAATCTACGATTTCTACAACATTATATCTAGACAATATAGTAAAAAAAATCGCGTATCGACATTCATTGTGGACAATCCGTATCGACGCACAGTTTTGAAAAAGTCGAAATAGACGCGTAAAACAACGGGAGGGGCTCAATTGCGCACAGCACAATTGGACACGATGCAATTGCACACAGTGCTATTGGACACATAATGTTGCGCACAGTTCTTTTGCGCACCGTTCATTTGGACACAGTTCTTTTGCGCACCGTACAATTGGACACCGTTGCTTTTGGACACAGGTTATCGAAATATAATTTAAAACACACAGACACACGCGTATGCATGTATAGCCCTGTTAGGAAATTTTGCTAATTTATAAATAATAAATCTTTCTAAATCAGCGTTTGTTCAATTGGACAATTCTTTTGCGCACAGTTCAGTGTCGCACAGTTCAGTGTCGCACAGTTCAATGTCGCACAGTTCAATGTCGCACAGTTCAGTGTCGCAGAGTTCAGTGTCGCACAGTTCAGTGTCGCACAGTTCAGTGTCGCACAGTTCAGTTTCGCACAGTTCAGTTTCGCACAGTTCAGTTTCGCACATTTCAGTTTCGCACATTTCACTTTCGCACAATTCAGTGTAGATGCACACAAGAATATTCTGCTTTACAAAATAGTTGATTTCACTTAATTTGTTTTTCTAATTCTTGATTACTTCACCTTGTATCTGTTACATGTGCAATGACACTAAACTATGCGAAACTGAACTGTGCAAAAGTGAACTGTGCGAAACTGACATGTGCGAAACTGAACTGTGCGACACTGAACTGTGCGACACTGAACTGTGCGACACTGAACTGTGCGACACTGAACTGTGCGACACTGAACTGTGCGCAAAAGAATTGTCCAATTGAACAAACGCTGATTTAGAAAGATTCATTATATATAATTTAGAAAAATTTCCAAACAGGGCTCTACATGCATACGCGTGTGTCTGTGTGTTTTAAATTATATTTCGATAACCTGTGTTCAAAAGCAACGGTGTCCAATTGTACGGTGCGCAAAAGAACTGTGTCCAAATGAACGGTGCGCAAAAGAACTGTGCGCAACATTATGTGTCCAATAGCACTGTGTGCAATTGCATCGTGTCCAATTGTACTGTGCGCAATTGAAGGCTTCTCTAAAACAACATCTTAAGTCATATAAATGTTATTGCGAATGGTATTGCTTTTTTTTTTTACCCGGTGGAAATCCTCATGGATCGTCACCCCGCCTCTCTGGGAAAGAGACGGGGTGGTGTGTGGGACTCACCCCCCTGTGCTCCCGGGCAATTGACGACCCGGGAGCCAGCGTGCAATGGGGGTGCCTACCTCACTAAAACCACCGGGGGTGGACTTCTTGGCGCTGTCTGGGGTCGCCTAGGACTCACGGTGGCATTCACCGGACGACCCCGCGCCGCGCGCAGTTATTCGCGCGCCCCTCTATGCTCCCATTCGTGGAAGCCTTGCCCTGACAGGGCAGGTCCTCTTCGTCCTTTTGTGATAGGACCTCATTCCTCCTCCTTGCAGCAGGGATGCCACCCGGTCCCTGCTGCGCCCCCTCGTTGCTGTGGGGGGCGGGTGAGTCACGACTTCCCAGGTCGTACCCACCCCCTAGGGTCCCAGACCCGCTCCTTTCTCCTCCCCTTTTTGTCGCCTTTTACGACAGGCAGGGGCTACCTCGGGGCTATTCTTTAGACGGCACCCGCACGCCTTAGATGGGATCCTACTCCCTTTTTTTTTTGTTGGTCCCGCCACCTACTGCCAGGCTCTGAGATGAGCTGGCTGCCGACGCGTCCACCTTCTTCTACCTCTCCTTGGTGGTGCGCCTCTCCCTCCATGTGCGCCATCCTGGGGGTTGGTTTCTCCTCTCCTCTCTCTTTCGGCGCTTTCCTTTGAGCTCATGACTCCCTCGCAGAATTTGTAGAAGGCTTCCCAGCCTTCTTCTCCTTCTACGATCGCCTCGATCACCTTATTGAGCGATAGGTCATCCCCAATAACTTCGACCAGGGCACGGCGCTCTTCCTCCCATGCCGGGCACTCTTGGAGAGTGTGCTGCGCCGTGTCCCGGTCCCCTCCACAATGGTTGCACCTAGGGGTGCCATCGCGACCTATTCGACACAGGTACTCCCCGAAGCACCCATGTCCGGAGAGCACCTGTGTCGTGCGGTAGGATGCTCGTGTCCACGGGCGATCCAGCCATTCCTGCAACCTCGGGAGGATGGCGTCCACAGTCCTGCGGCCCGAGCTGTTCGGCTCGCCGAGTCTGGTCCTCCATTCCTCTCTCATTCCCTCTTGCATCTGCGACCTGAGGGTCCTCCTGATGGCTGGGGTGACGATCACTCCTTCCTCCCTCAACTCTCGCACCCGGTCATACATAGCTGCGTATATTCCCGCCGCTATGTCTATCGGGGGAAGTCCCGCTAACAGCGTCGCAGCGGGGTGGGAGACCGTCCTGTAAGCTCTCACCACCCTAATTGCCGCTCTCCTTTGCGCCTTCCTAAGTATAGCCAGGGCTCTGGAATTGCGCTCCAGAGCCGCTGACCACACCGGCGCCCCGTAGAGCGCCATGGACGCCATGCGAATGGTATTGCTACAGCCTCGGTGGTCGAGCTGGCTAAGATGCCCGCACGGATTGAGGGAGGTCCCAGGTTCGAATCCTGGCTTGGTAATATTGGGTAATATTTTTTCGCAATAACAATTTTAACTATTACCAATCACTTGATAAGGACCACAATCCGGATGGTCAAAACTTCGTGGATGTAAGATTCACGAATAAAGTTTCCTGCCAGTTGGGTCGACAAAAATCACTTTAGATAAAATTAGCGGTAAAGTTGGAAACATGGTGTTTTCGGATGTTTTACATTAGTTCTTCCTTTTATGAGGAATATTATCTGTTATTGAGGTTGACTAGAGTTTGTCGCTGTTTTTTTATTTACTTTTCGTGTAGTTTCGCTGACTCACCTTTTCGGTTAACAGTCAGAGCTCGCGAGAAACGGTCTCAATCGAGCGAAAGTCGCGAACCTGTGTTCATCTTACTCACGATCGCGAAAGCAGCACTCGTATCACTTTCATTTTTTGTGCTTTTTGTTAATTAAATATACCGCTGAAAATAAGTAGTATTTTCCCATTTTTTGCTCAAGATAAAAATGGGTCATATCTAAAAATTCTGACGTGACGGGAGAAAACGGAGGCCAGATTCGAAATCAGCGACCAAAATTACATAAAGTGCACTTGGTTTCATTCCAGTAACATGACCCTTGTAGACCTGTGTTATTAAGGAGGATGTGTTTTGCTATTTTGATATTATCCAAGTAAAAGCGTTCATCAGCTAACAAAATTGCGTGGTCAATTTTGTTCCAATTTGTGGTCAATCCACAAAAGGTATTTGTTTTATATTTGAGGGGGAGGCTAGAGAAGAAGTTATTGATATAACGACCCGAAAAGGTAGGGTTTCTATTCCAGTTGGTTAGTAAATTACCATCCTCTCTAATTACCGTAGTATCAAAAAAATTTGGACGCTAACGTTTTGTATTCTTTTTCTTGTTTATTGACCTTTTGTACAGTTATCTGCTACCTTTCTAATTCAGTCTATTGTTGGCTGTGTTTCACGCAGGTCTTTCCATCTGTTGTGACAAAACAATCAACTATAATTTATATTTAGCCTAGTTATACTGTTAGCTTGTGATGTTTAATTAATAACTTTATATTCAAACGTATAGTTACATACACTGATCAAAAAAATTAACGCAACAAGAAATTTACATCAAAATTTGGCGAATTTCAAATAAGCGTAACTTCGCGAAAACTGGTCGAATTGAAAAGTTGTTTTTTTTTCATTTTATAGGGCAAAGCCTCTGCTTTAAGAAGCTCTTATTGGAATTTGCATTTAATCTTCCCATTTCCCGGAACTTTCTCAAAATCATGACCATGTTTTTTCTTTAAAAAATTGCACACTTTGACGCACTGTGCGGAGAGTAGTAATTTTTCTTCGCCAGTTCTGCTTACGGTATCAAAATGTGTATACTTTTCTCTTCAATTTAAAAAAAAAAGAAGTTCCTACGATTTTTTTTCGCCAAATCACAGTTCATTGAAATAACCCTTGTGTTTTCGACATTACCGACGATATCTCCGTTAAAAATCATCGTAGCAAGATCGTTTTTTTTTTTAATTAAAGCTTGTACTCTCAGCTTCAAAACTAGTCACCAGATTTTTCCTCGAATGCATCTGCGCTGCTTTTAAAATGTAAGGACATGTTTTTACCTAAAAACTAACCAAATTTGGCCAGGTGCCCGGGCGTAGGAAATTTTTCCTCACTAATTCTGCTCGAAGTATCAAAAAGTGTGTACTTTTCCCTTCAATTTAAAAAAAAAGAAGTTACTGCGATTTTTTTTCGCCAAGTTACAGCTTTTTGAAGTAACCCTTGTATTTTTGTTCATTACCGTTGACATCAGCGTAACCCAATGTGCACGTGGAGGTTGCCGTTCGGATTTTGCACATCGTGTGGCCCTGAAGAGGGCCAGTGTATTCATATCGAACATACTGGGATATAATGGGAAGAAGGCTGCGTGACTTGTAGGACCACACGATGTGCAAAATCCGAACGG